GGGATTCAGGGGCCGGGCGTGGGCAGAGCGTTCTCCTGGCAAACTGGGAGCCTGTGCTGCACCCTTGGGGCGGAGGCTGGAACTCTCCCGGGAGACGGTTCTGACCAGCATAGCCATGCTCCAAGGCCTTTAGCCCAGCACTTAACTCTCAGACGGGGTCTACTTTTTAATGCTGATGATCCAAGGGAAATAAGCTTTGGAGTCCAAAGGGAGATGGGTGTTTTCTTGTGACGCAAAAGGCGGAGACTCGCATTCAACAAAAGAGTCTCTGAAAAAATATACCCTTTCAGAGCTAAGTATGTAATTAGGGGAAGTTACAAATCAAGCATTAATGGGAAAATAACGGCCACCCTCGGGATTCAGGGGTCTGATGGGTTTCCGGCACATCTTAGGGTACTTTTATTCGGGTCATTTTCTTGCTGGTGGTTAGTTTTTACTGTTTCCCTTTTTCCCTCTGCTCGGTTCTATCAAAACCTCGCATATTCAGGGGGAAAAGGAGTTGACGTGAGTCCGCAGAGTCTGTGGTCTGTTTCCTGGGCTCTTTATTCCCCAGAGAAGCCCAGATCCAGCAGTTTTAAAGGGGCTGGCTTCTCCCTGCCGTCCGAACCACAAGGCACAGTCAGCGGGTGGAGACCGTCCAGAGGGAGCCGGGGTATTTAATTAGGGTGGGGTCACCATGGGGGAAACTGAGGCACAGGAGGCAAACTTGGGACGTGCCCTGGTTTCAGAAACCTTTCCGCGCAGGTGCCTGGAGTGGGATTTCTGCCCCAGGGTCAGTGGGAACTCAGGGACCACTTACCTTCCTGTCCTTTTTGGTAGCAGTTTGTTTTTTTGTTTTTGTTTTATCATTCAGACTATCCTGGTGCTGTCGGTTGCCGTCAAAACTTCTCATGTTATGTTTGCCATTACTGGGCTCCTGGGATAGAAACCCCGATGGGAAGTGTGTCTCCGAGGCATTTTTGAGGCAGACCAGACACGGTGGTGCCGTGGACAGAGGGGCGGCCCCTTGGAGGGGTGACAGCAGGCGGCCTGGAGTGGGGGGCCAGCCGTGTGACCCCACTGCTGTCGGGGAAACAGCCCCTCTCAGGATGCTGCGCTTTGCGACTCTCGCAAAGTGAGCGTGTGCCTTCCTCCTCCTGCCCTTTCCATGAACGGGACACACGTGACCCGGGTGGTGCGTCCGTGTAGGGATCCCGAGGCCTCTCGGGGGTTGTGCTCTGGGGTGGGAAGTGGTGGGAAGAGAACCGGGCGGCTGAGTTCTCCTGGGCCTGGTTTCCCACGACAGCCAGGGAGGACCGGCAAAGTGGGAGCGCAGATTCTCCGTCCACTGCCCGCAGATGAGCGTCCTTAGACGAGCGGTAACAAAGGGCCCCCATCCGTGAACAAGGCACTAGGGGAGGAGAGATGGCACGATGGACCTCACGGGTTTCGGCGCAAGGGCTAAACACGGGGCTTCAGGGAACGTGTTTGCACCCTTAAAAAGACAGCTCGCGATTTGGTTTTTTTTACTGAAGTACAGTCAGTTGCAATGTGTCAGTTTCCGGTGTACAGCACAGTGTCCCAGTCATGCACACATATACATATGTTCATCTTCATACTCTTTTTCATTAAAGGCTACAAGATCTTGAATATAGTTCCCTGTGCTATGTAGAAGAAATCTGTTTTTTATCTAGTTTTATAGATAGTGGTTATTGCAATTTGTTTGAAAAGGCAGTGTGCAGCCTCGGAGAAAACTCACCAGGGGCGGGCTGATTGCAGACAGTGTTACGGAGCAGGCAGAATTTGATGTGTGGCTTGAGCACGAGCAAGAGTTAAATAAAAATGAGGGAGGGGCCAGGGCAGGAGAGGGCGGATGGGAAGGCTGCCCAGCAACCTGACCCTTGCCTCTGCCTCTGCCTCCAGGAGACCCGGAGACCCTCATCCTTGCTGCACCAGACCAAGCAGAGGGACACTGGGGCTGAGCAGGGAGCCTTACCCCTGGCCCAAGGCAGCAGGATTCGCCCAGGTCAGGGGAGGCAGCCCCAGGGCCGCCCCTAGGTGCTCATCAGCCATCAGGGAGACCTTGGCAGGTGCCCCTCGAGCACTTCGCTGTGAGTGCAGCCGCAGAACCTGCCCACTTTTCCCTTTGGAAGTTAGAAGCGGTTTCTGCCAACACCTGGTGGTGAAGGGTCCTGGAGGCCGAGCACAGGCGTCAGCACAGACACCAGGGGCCCACGTGGCTTCCAGAGCAGGCTGCACGTCGAAGCGCCAGGACACGGGAAGGGATCTCTGCAAAGAAGCAGTGGAGCCACCTCTGCCCGACGTGGGAAAACCAGAGGCCCTCAAACTAAGGGAGGGGAGGTTTGAGAACGCCCTCGCGGCCCTGGGACAGTTACCTGGGGGGTCCGGAGGGCGGGAAGTCCTGCTTGGATCTCCTCTTCTTCCCTCCTGCAGAGCAGCCCTCACGTTGACCTTCCAGTGGCTGAGGCCCTCTCTGGGAATGAGCTCAGTGGGGGCGCCAGACCTTCAGATGCCATCACAGCCCAAAACGCAGAGCCCCACCTCGTTGGAGAGTGGTCCATGCGCCTCTGAACCAAACTGAAATGTCATAAAACTTCACGGGATCCGCGCAGGAAGCTGTTGTCAATCAGCCTCGTTTGATCTTAATTATATACTTAAATATTCAAATACTTTCAGTTTAGACTCAGTGAGTTTAGTGAAAGCCATTCCTACCTTGGTAGTGGGACCTGCGTCACCATGGACATCACAGGAGGCCGATGGGTCACGCCACAGGTCGGGGGGGGCACCCCCAGGTCGGGCGGGGAGGGGCCGTGGAGGGCCTGGCGGTGGGGCTTTCCACGCGACTCTCGCTCTGAGCTCCCAGGTTGGCGTCTCTCAGCTCATACACACCGGTTTACTTTGAGCGACTTTGACAGTTACGTGTAAACTCCGAATTTGAAGCCAGACTCAGAAGTCCACATGCTCGTCCTTGCTCGTCTTCCTCAGTCTTAGTAGAAGTTGACTCGGCTTGCTCAGGTTTGCCTGCTGTCCTCCGCTGTCTCCATGCTCAGGTGCTCCCTGGGGGAGTGGCCGCGTGGGCCGTGCATGGCCTGTCCTGTTCTTCCCTTGGTGGCTGTGTGCGGGGTCCCCGAGCTCCCCACCTATGGGCCGTCTAGACTGGGTTTCTGGCCCTGGCCCTGGCCCTGGCGCCAGGGGATCGCCTCCAGGAGGTGCGAGTACTTCCCGCCACGTCACTCCAGAGCTCACCGAGGAGGGTTCAGAAGTCGGGTGGGTGTTACTCAGTTTCCATCCCATCTTCTGGACCTGACGCAGTCCTCCGTGTCTCTCGGCAGCTGGGCATAAGGGTTTGCCAGCCCCTGTGCGATGGGCGAGGATGAACCGGTGAGCATTCCGAAGTGTCTTGAGACTTCCAGGTGGAAGTGTTTGGACCTGTGTGTGACCGTGACCCTTGAATGACTGCGGGGCCCGGGCACTGAATTTCCCTCCCTGGTTAGCTGCAGGCAGAACCGCTCCCTAGGGCCCCCAGAAACATTCAGGATTTAGGAGGGTGGCTTGTGTTGAGAGGTCCGTTCTGGGCCCTCCTGCACCAGCCGTCCACACGTTCCAGCATTTGTGGCTCCTTCTCCAACCTGTTGTCGCTGTGGCTCTCGGGTGCTGTTCCTTTATCAGTGGACACCTCTCCTCTTGTCTTTCCGCAGGCGTTCATTCGGCCCACCCTGCCGGGGCTCCGGCCTGGCTCGCGGCTGAAGCCTGAGAAATGGACGTGCCCACGGCGCCCTCTAGTGGATTCCGGCGCTAACCGGCTGCGCGCTTCCAGCGGTGACGATGGTGCTCGTGCCGCGCCCCAGGCCCTACTCGTCCAACGAGACCCTGTACGAGCACTACAACTACGTGGGCAAGCTGGAGGGCAGGCTGAGGGACGCCCCCGAGGGCAGCACGCTCACCACCGTGCTGTTCTTGGTCATCTGCAGTTTCATTGTCCTGGAGAACCTGATGGTTTTGATCGCCATCTGGAAAAACAATAAATTTCACAACCGCATGTACTTTTTCATCGGCAACCTGGCCCTCTGCGACCTGCTGGCAGGCATAGCGTACAAGGTCAACATTCTGATGTCGGGCAAGAAGACGCTGAGCCTGTCTCTGACGGTCTGGTTCCTGCGGGAGGGCAGCATGTTCGTGGCCCTGGGGGCGTCCACCTGCAGCTTGCTGGCCATTGCTATCGAGCGGCACCTGACCATGGTCAAAATGAGGCCTTACGACGCCAACAAGAAGCACCGCGTCTTCCTCCTGATCGGGATGTGCTGGGTCATTGCGTTCTCGCTGGGCGCCCTGCCCATCCTGGGCTGGAACTGCCTGCAGAACCTCCCCGACTGCTCCACCATCCTGCCCCTCTACTCCAAGAGGTACATCGCCTTCTGCATCAGCATCTTCACGGCCGTCCTGCTGACCATCGTCATCCTGTACGCGCGCATCTACTTCCTGGTGAAGTCCAGCAGCCGCCGAGTGGCCAGCCCCCACAACTCGGAGCGGTCCATGGCCCTGCTGCGGACCGTGGTGATCGTGGTGAGCGTGTTCATCGCCTGCTGGTCTCCGCTGTTCATCCTCTTCCTGGTGGACGTGGCCTGCGAGGTGAAGGAGTGTGCCATCCTGTTCGAGGCCCAGTGGTTCATCGTGCTGGCGGTGCTCAACTCCGCCATGAACCCGGTCATCTACACGCTGGCCAGCAGGGAGATGCGGCGGGCCTTCTTCTGGCTGGTCTGCGCCTGCCTGGTGCGGGGCCGGGGTGCCCGCTCCTCGCCCACCCAGCCGGCTCTCGATCCAAGCAGGAGCAAGTCCAGCGGCAGCAACCACAGCAGCCCCTCCGCAAAGAGCAAGGAAGACCTTCCCCAGGGGGCCGCCGCGCCCTGCATCACCGACAGGAACAAAACCCTGCAGAATGGGATCTTCTGTAAATGAAGGCACTGGCCTCGAGGAACGGGGGCTCCTCGTGTGTCCACGGGAGAAGCGGCAGCCGGTCCTGCAGCCACGTCCTTACGGATCGCATGCCTCACCCACGGGGCCCCTTCCAGAGCTGTGGCTCAGGAAATCTGCTGACAGCCTGCCTGGTCTGGACGTCTCTTGGTGGGGTGGGGGCAAGGGATCAGAACCCACTTCAGTGTAGACAGCGCACCTTGCCCGTTTAGGCTAGAGAGTCTTCCAGATCTACGAAGCTGCTGTCATTGGCCGCTTTGCCTTGAATCCCACTGGCCGCTGGCTGTAGGGCCTGGGGAGGGGAGGTCGTGGACCACACAGTGGACAGTATGTTTCCCAGATCATCAGGATGGTGTCTGGTGACTTCACACTACATTGACTGCGCACAGAATGGACGCTGTGTGTTTGCCATTTCTGTGTTCCGTAGCACTTGTGTTTCAAATGTCTGCCGTCGGTACACACGTGAGCTGCAGTGCGTGTGGTATTGATGTCACGGGGGAACAGGTCTGCTTTGACTGAGCCCCCGGTATAAGCAGGTGTAAGGAC